ATTTTCTTGAGATTGAATCTGACCAAGGGAATGTTTCCATCATGACAGTAAATTTAGAAAAAGAAACTGAAATGAATCACCCGACTCTGCTGTTGGGATTGTTCAGTTTCCACGAGGGAATTATTTCCTTTTTTCTCCTTACAAACAAACGAATGATAATGTTACTGTCTGTTTGATTTGCAAATGTGACTTCAGCTTTCTTTAAAGCATAAACAGTCAAGTTGTTAAACAGTATTTGCTTCTTTCAAAATAAAAAAAACAAATCTGTATTTCATTGATATTCAGTCTGTTTTATTTAACAGTGTGACCTTTAATCATCCTGACTGTACCTCCTGCACTACATGACAGGCCATCTCAAATTTACTTTAGTATCAACTTCAACTTTATAGGAATGTTCTGTGACCTCACCTAACGTCTATTTATAGAAATAAAAGAAAACTAAACAAATATATATATATATAAATGGTCAACAGGATAACCAGTGCACAGCCTAAAATCAAGTTCTCAGTGACCATACTAAAGACCATTTTCACACCGCTGTGGGTCACCACTCGTATTATAGGTAGAGTACCAATCGAGAATTATGACGAACTCCTTGGTGTGTCAGGGCCTTTAAACTGTCTTAGCAGCAGCTGAAATATTATCCTATCAGACGCTCCATATTTCAGAAAATAATACATTTAAAGAAAGAAACATGGAGGTAATATGTTCAGATCCATTGAGCACTAATCATTTCTAAGTGATATTAAAAGCTTCAATTTGTGCATTTGTCAAATGGGAATGTTTTCTGTGCATTTGTTGCTGCAGCTGTGTGATTTTAGTCTAACTCCTGGTTTAACGTCTTCATATTTCTCTAATACAGTTTGCTCTGAGTTTTTGAAATATGACAGTCTGCTGACAGCAGTTCATGTTCATGTGTATAAATGTTCACATGCTGCTTACACGGCCCCTTTAATGTGAACGTGCTCATAGAAACCCTGTGTCGACTTATCAGGCTGATAACTTGCTTCATGTGACCTTTTAGTGTGACCTTTGTCAGGGGTTAGTGAAGCCAGATGACCAAAAAAGAATCCTCAGTGTGTTGAACTCGCTTCGTTGTACAGGCCTCATGTTTTTTACTGATTTATCAACTCAACCAAATGACAGCCATACTGATATATTCAGTTTAACACCACTCCCTCTCATGGGATTTTACTTTATTATAAGAAGAAATAGCATGGACCCTGTCAACACAAACAACACTCTTCATCCCCTAACCCACTGTGCACTATACATTACACAATGTTATTCTAGCCTAAAGAAACCTTCACCAGGATTTAGTGTACAGAAAGTAGAACATGTGTCATTCAAAGGAAGAGAAAATGGCACTTATTACCTTTAATCTTGATGCAGGCCTGATAACAGAACAGTGAATTGAACTGACTATCTGTCGGGGTTAAAAATAAAACCAGGAAGCAGGACCTACCCCTGGACCTGAGAGGCTCGTATATAAGGAAGTGAATCCCCTTCACAACAGCAGAGTGTTTGCTGCTGCCTGAGAACAGTCGCTTAGACAGAGAAAACATGAAAATCTTTGTGGCATTAGCGTGCTTACTGGCAGGCTGCCTGGCCCAGAGGCCTCACCCGTGCGGTAAGTAAACACTGACAGAGCCAGAAAAGTGATTGTGTGCTTTCTAAATGCTAAAACATTTGTTTTGGCAATGTTTTCCTTTGTTGATTTTACACGGGAATCAGCCATTTGTGTGTTGTGTTATAATTTCACACATCTTTCTTCAAATCACAGAAAGTCCTCCTCTGCTCAGCGGGGCGCTCACTGCGGTAAGGTGTTCATTGTTTCTTTATGAGCACAATGACGCAGCGTCACAGTTGAAGATGTGAGAGAGGGAGATTTAAACTCACCCAATTCTCCTTCCTCCAGTCCACGCAGAATGAAAAGCTGTGGGTCTATGCCAAATACCTGTACGATGCACTGGGACAACGGATGAGGCTCTTTGAGTTCGGCAACCTGGATAATCAGACTTTCACCTACGATTTTCTTCTGCTCTACAAAGAGGTGACCAAAGCAATAACAGCAACATTAAATATTTATTTTAGAGTGATAAGAAGAGAAAAGTTGCAATGACTGAATAATTTCACACCTTATTCCCTCATACAGTAGCCTATGTCGAACATTTGAGGATTTCAGAGTCAAATTCTAACTTTACATTATTTATTTTTTATAGTTCAAAGAAAACTTATTTCCATTAATACAAACATCCACATTTAAGTTGAATAGATTGTTTCCTAAGTTGAAATATCGCAATGCTCATTCAGTTAGCCAGTTAACAGCATTTTCCAGTATGTGTTAGCATCAAGCTAATGAACTAAGATAGATATCCTCGTCTGTCTTTGAGAAAATGTGCCCTCACTGCAGAACGATGCACCAGCTACCACTGCTCACAATATGTATAAATATACTTGGTTCAGGATACAATTTTATTGCAATTTTTCACGATTGTCAAAGACATGAGATTGAGGTAAATCTTTTAATTTTGAGGTAAAAAGTTTGTTAAAGTTACGGTAAGTATAATCATACTCATTTTGAAACATCACACCTCCTAAATCTCCAAGTCTTCACTTTCCTGTCCCTAGTCTGTTGGTGTCTCTGTCTGAAGCAGATAGTGCCCCCTGCTGGTTAAAAAAAAAGATAGCACTTCTAGTTTTTTGATATCGATTTACATTGTCCATATTTGTGTTGATGTTTAATTGTATTTAAAGGTATCGTTACAATCCTAGTTTTTAGCACGTGATTTTAACTAAACAGCAAACTTTTATACCATCATTAAATGTCAAAGTCAAGTGTAAAATAATATAAATGAAGGAAATCCATTTTTCTCCTCATCTAATCAATCAATCAATTTTTATTTGTATAGCGTCAACTCATAACAAGTGTTATCTCGAGACACTTCACAAAAAGCAGGTAAAATACCTTACTCTTTGTCTGTTAACATTACAAAAGAGCAGGTAAAAAGACCTTACTCATTGTTATGTTACAAAAAGCAGGTAAAAAGACCTTACTCATTGTTATGTTACAAAAAGCAGGTAAAAGACCTTACTTATTGCTATATTACAAAGACCCGGCCTATCCATCATGAGCACTTTTATCTAATAACTTTTATCCATCAGCATGTCATGTATGAGATCAACCACCACAATCGTACCTGCAAGAAAATCCCTCTGAAGGTGGACTTTCAGCCTCTGGGCATTTCAAAAGACGCCTCTCTGCTGGGCCAGGTGATCGTCGGCAGCTCGTCTGGACCCGGACAAGGACTCCTGGTCAACACCTGGATAGGAGATCTGCCCAACAAAGAAGGTCAGAGAGCATTTGTTGGTGTGAGCTATCTAAAACTGTTAATTCTTCTATTCTAAAACTCTTCTTTTTTTTTTTTTCCCCTATCTCTCACCCTACAGGAAAGTACATGAGCACAGTGACTGAATTTGGATGCATTCCTGTTTCTGTTGCATTTCAAACAAAACAATATGGATGGATGGTCTTCAGGTCAGTTTATAACAGGCACCTAGAACCTATTAAAGAAGTGGTCGAGCCATGTCGCCCATTTGTTTAAGTACCCCCACCCAGGGACGGCGCCAGGATTTGTTTCTCCTGGTGCTGAGGGGGAGCTTGACTTATATCTGGGTGCTATGAAAAGTTGATTTTCATGAATTCATAGTTCTCTCTTTTTTTTTTTTCAAATAAAAGCAGACATATGTGAGGGGGCTTAACTGGGTATGGACAGATTTGTGATGGGGCTATAGCGCCCCCTAGCCCCAATGTAGCACCGTGCTTGCCCCCACCCCACCCCACCCTCCTTCTGAAGCATTTTAGCTGTCTTCATTTTTTGGAACCAGAAGTTATTTGAACAAGAATGTGGAAATGCATTGTTAGGTCTCTTTACTCTTTGGCATCACAGGTCGCCATGCCTAAAGCATGCCCCGTTTCAGCATCATTAAACTCTAAAAGGGACCATGATGGACACTTTGATTATGATGCTGTATTGAGACTTGAAACTGTGAACAGGATTGTGATAAGTCAATGATATGAGAGTTGGGGACGTGTTAATTCTGCCTTTTAGAAACCAGCAAACTGATTTGATCTTTTTCTCTTTCAGCTACTTCAACAACATCATCGGGATTTCTGACCCCGGTCTGCTCAACCCTCCATCCTTCTGCCCGGGTGCAGACGCTTCAACAGACGAGGAGCCCATTGGCTTCTTTAGTTTGTTCCATCGGAAGAATTGAGGGCCTCCTTTAAACCAATATGTCCAACTCTTCAACATGTGGAACAAGTCAAACTGAGCCTCTAAACCCAGCACTGTAATTCACTATACATAAAATCTAAAATGTTCGATGTCTAGCTATAGTTTAGATTCCCTAACAAAATGTGATTAATGTCACATTATTAATGAATATTTGTTTACTTCTCCAGGATTGATTGAACTTAAAGATGGACATATAATGTTTACGTATTGAGTTCGGGGGCGTAGTGTCCCTGAATGCATCATTTCCTTTTTCTCAAGTAACAAAAACTAACTCTGCGCTTGATATTCCTTCAGCTCTCTTTCAGGGACAAACAATAAAGCTGTCAAACAGTACATGCTCAATGCTGAATTTAAAAATGTATGTCTACTTTTTAACTATCCCATGTGACAGCACATCCATGACTGAACCTCCTTTGCTTCTTAATTAAAAGGTTAATTATCTAAACTTCAAATTTCAAAGAATGTACTGTGAACTTGTTAATTTTATCAATGAAAATAATAAAAATACAACTCAAATATTTTAACCTTGTCTCTGTGTAGAAAAAAAGATTACACATATTGATGAGTGTTGAGGTCGTAGGCTGTGTCTGAAATCACACTCATTCCCTAGTCCCTACTCACTATGTAGTGCAAAATATAGTGAGTAGTCATTTCGGACACAGTCTTTGGTCAAATTTTTTTTTTTTTGTTTGTTTATGGTGTAATGTTGATTTCTGACATTTGTAAAGGGGACATATTATGAAAAATCCACTTATACAGTGTTTCTGAACATATATAATTTACATGCTCCCTCTTGGTGACATCATCCGTAAATATAATGTCAACTTTCCCTGTTATGCCGATGACACACAACTTTACCTCCCGATTACACCTGGTGACCATTCAAATACAACTACTCTCCTCAAGTGCCTTTCAGAAATAAAATCATGGATATCGGACAACTTTCTACAACTCAACGACGCAAAATCAGAAGTCATAGTAATTGGTCCCCCATCAAAAAGGAATCAAATTACTGCACACCTAGGAGAACTAACCCATTATGTGAAGCCCTCAGCCAGAAACCTTGGGGTTGTTTTTGACCAGGACTTGTGTTTTGAGCTGCAAGTGAAGAAAGTTTTACAGTCCTGTTTTTACCAGATCAGAAATAAGTCAAATCCCTGTCGCAAAAAGATCTGGAGAAACTCATACACACCTTCATTTCCTCCAGGCTTGATTACTGTAATTCATTATACACCTGTCTAAGTAAAAAAAATCAATCCACCACCTTCAAACTATCCAAAACGCAGCAGCATGGCTTTCAACAAGAACAAACAAATGTGTCCATATAACGTCAATTTCAGCATCCCTTCACTGGCTCCCTGTTTATTTTAGAATTGATTTTAAGATTCTTTTAATTACTTTTAAGGCACAACATGGGCTGGCCCTCCTTATATTTCTGAGCTTTTAACCCCTTATGAACCAATACGCAGTCTGAAATCCGCTGGCAGAGCCCTACTGGCTGTTCCAAAGTCCAGGCTAAAATCTAAAGGGGACAGGGCCTTTGCTGTTAGAGCCCCCAAACTTTGGAACAGCCTGCCCAGAGGAGATCAGACTTGCAGATTCAGTCCCTTTTTTACATCCCTACTCAAGACATGCTTTTACTTTCAAAATGCTGATTTCGTTAACTGTTCTTATTTTTATTTTATTAGTCTGATTTTGTTGTCTGCTTGTTTACTCTCTGCCTGTTGCTTTGTCTCTCTGCTTTTATTTTCTGTTGTAAAGCACTTTGTTACTTGTATAGAAAAGTGCTATACAAATAAAGTAATTCATGTATACAGGCTGTGTAATAATCAGGTGCTCTGATCCCGAAATAACACACACTGAAGTCGGATTGTGAGAAATTCAATTCCAGAACATTACATTCAGTTCATTACATTTATTTTCAATACAAACGTCCAACAGGATACCCTATAGCACAAACCAACCTATGTGCTCAGGCGGAATGTACAACTAGAAAATGAGTAAATAATCCGCTGCAATGATAAGGAGTGCTGTGCTCATCAGCAGCAGCCGCCATGTTGGAAATCCTGTCTCAGCCTAACTTTCAGTCAACCTAACGACAGGCTGAGAGCTGAGGCGGGTTGTAAGCCTCTTGACAAACAGCTACATCTCGCCCACCTGTCAATCATGTCAGCTAAGCACCTAACTATAGATAACACGTTTCATTTTCAAAATCAAAACAGAGACGTTTTAAGATAAATTCATCCCCGGACAGCGTGTGCCAGTGAGGACAATAACTATTCAGACCCATTTAATTTTTTTGTACCAGGCTGTCAACATGTTAATCTATGCTTTAAAAACAGCTTTTTAGCCTGTTGAGTGTCTGCGACTTCCGGGGCTCCTGGAGCCAGCCTCAAGCGGAAACTCAACTCAGTAAATGGGACCATAATTTACAAAATGAACATCATGCTGTATTGAATAAACCCTGAATAGAGATTGAGACCACAGACTCATTAGAAAAATGTTCATTAAGTCGATATATCAAATGAGAAGTAGGCTAATGTTCCCTCCTGGTTTCATACAATTAGATTGCAAATGGAGTCTCCCGCTGCTGGCCATTAAAAGAATGCAGGTTTTTATTTAATCGAGTAAAGCATTGGCTTCACTTCTGAAACCTGAGCTAACGTCCACTTCCTCAATAAGGTGTACAGTGTTATGTACATGTAACAAATTTCACTTTCCAAATTATTAGATTTTTGGATTTTCTGTTTCAGCTTCTTCAACAACGTCATCGGTGTGTGTCCAGGATCCGCTTGACTTCTTTGACTTCTTCCATCGCAAGAATTGAGGGCCAGCTTAAAAAAAACAATGTCTGAAAAATGTTTTAATCAAATCAAACTATGACACAAAATCAGAGCTTTGTCATTTACTTTACATCAGAGATCTGCGGGAAAAAGTGTCAGAGGAATGGCATACTGTAAAGTGGCCACATGTGGGATTCAAACCTGGGCCACCCACTTGGAGTTCTACAGCCTCTGTACATGGTGGCTGTAGTACTCTTTTATAGAACAAGAGACAACATTTCATTGAGAGTATCTAAAATCTCGTACTCACTCATTTCTTCCTATCGCCTAGTTAGCCATATACTTGGACACTACTTTCTGTACCAACAGGCACCAATACCAACTTCTTTGTTGTTCTGAGTTGATTCATGACTTCAGTATTAATTTATTCTGATGGGTTCATGGCATTAATCACTACTTTCAAGCCCTCTTCACTACAGATGATATTCATTTATAAATGATGGTCCAATTATGTGCTAAATAAAAGCACATGATTTAGGGGGCTACCACAGCTGTAACTAGTATAGAGGGTACCCATGTGGATTGTCTGAATAAAGCAAGCACTGTAGCATCCTCTTCCTTATACTTCAGAAGTGTAAAGGAGTGGCAGGTGTCGTTGCACGCCTTCTTGGTTTGCTGATCATTTGGGCTACATTCATTCAGCTTGCAGGCCAGATATTTTTAACTGATTACACAACTGCAGATGGTAACATTACCAACTCTTTACTTCCGAAACAACCATTTGCTGAACAACAAAAGATAATTTTTTAAGTTCAAAGTTTAACCACGATCGTTATGCTAATCCACGTTTAAAGCTATTTCCATTCTGTGTTAGTGTAAGCGAGGTGGGTGTATGTGAAGGAATAAATCAGTCCAAACACGTTCTGGGTCTTTCTCATAACTTTAGTCAGCTTCTCCGACACACGGTACATTTCACAACCTCCCTTCTTCTTCTCTTTCTCTCCCCTCACTACACAGCTCACTCCTGCCTGAACAGCGCCCACTAGGTGGCCTACATAATAACAGGATATTAACATTACTGTAAACACTTGTAACCAACATTATAGCAATCATTTAAGAACATACTAAAGTTATGTCTGCATAGAGAAAGAACATAATAAACATATGTTTCTAACTTATTTGCATATCCCATTTTCACTCTTACATTAGCATCAAGCTAACTGACTAAGAATAAACACCCTGGTGAATCTGTGAGAAATTGCAATAATAGTCCAGTCACTAGTGCTTATAATTAAAATGTTTCTCTTTTTTTTAATGGTTTGTAAAGGTTTGAGCACAATTGTCTCACATAAAGTCTGAAGCACTGGAGTAAAAAAATGGTATCCATTTTTCTTTGAGGTTTAAAAGGTCTTAAGTTTTAATTCTAAAAAGTGTACAGCAACCCTGAACATTAAATGAAACCTTTTAAAAAGAAGAATACATTTTAATATGACAGATCATTTTTTATTAAAGATAAATCATCACTGTCTCTTAACGTTAGTGGTTTTCAGACTGTTTCCACACTCTAGGCATTGTCTTTAAATTCTCTCTTCTGATGCTTAAATCAATACATCATGTAGATTGTTATGTGTTTTTTTCATTGAGAAATTACTCCGCAGTTTAAAGCTCCTGTGAGGAACTTTTGGTTTCAGTCTACTTTGGCACCCCCTGTGGGGAAAAGCAGTAAGCCACACTTATTGTTGATTTTATCCTGTACACGAGCAGGTAGTTGTTCTGTGATGAAAATTCTCCTCCTCCTTTCGATGGTCAAATGTATCGCTCAGCTCATTTTGTTTTTTTGCTGAGGAATTTAGAAAAAAAGCTGCTTCTTCATTCTCTGAGCTGTAAACCCGCCTCGTCTGATACCTACCCCATCGCAGCTCTTACAGGCAATAAAAATAACTGTAGAAATAGTCAAACTTGTCGTAACTGCTCTGGTTGGCTTTTGTTGTTAAAACAGAGGCATCAGTATTAATTTCAGTCCGTTTCTTAATTTGCTAAAAAATGCTGACAGGAGCTTTAAATTAATGAACATGCTTGGCTTGTAACGGATTTAGCATGTAAAAATGGAAAGGTTATCTATGCTAATGAGGAGTATAGTAAAGGGAGTGTGCAGGAATAAATGGGATTCGCTAATCAAAGTGTTAAAGGGAAAGCAGTGAACGGAGACAACAAGTGCATTCAAGCATTCACTGCAGTGATGGCCAACATCCAGAACGCGTTTCCGGCAGAGCAGGCCTCTCTGTAATTGCCGAGTTTTGAGTTCTCGCTTCCTCACTTTGTTCAACCTTCGTTTTATTGCTTCCTCTCCTCCTTCTCAATCTAGAGGGTTTTTTTTTATTTAGTCTTTTGCTGTTGGGCTTTTGGCATAAAGCAGCATGCCCTGCACAATAGACCCAATTATGGCTGGCTTCACTGATAAGTGCATCACTGCTGCAGGTGGAGGTGGAGGAGGTGACGCTAAATATCAAGGGTGGCCGCTCCAGAGGCCTAAAGTAATTGCACTGCGGCAGCGGAGGAGAGGAAGGAGAAACAGAGATGCAGAGCCTTTTTCTTTTTCTTTTACAAATGTCTCCTACTTGATTTTAACCACTGTTCCTGAGTCCTTGAAATCCTCCTTTTTTCTTTTTTTTATCTTTTCCAAGTCAAGCACCACTTGACTTTGTCAGGAGCGTAAGATCTCAGAAGCCATGGGCGATCAA